TAAGTTTATGATGTGAGATAACAGAAGCGCAGAGATGAGCAATACTGAGACATGACTTATTTATATGTATAATGACGTTCGTTTGAAGGGATTTGATGATATATTATTTTATTCTTGAGTTATTGTTTTTTGACCCTAATATTCTTGAATTTGTTGTTCCCATGGAAACTTCAAGTGTAAGTGGTTTTTAAGTTAATATAGAGTGGTTGTCCTCGCGCGTGGGATTAGTTTGTATACGAAGTATTTATATATATATATATATATAAATATAATAGATACATACTATATATGTATACATGACATGATATGATAGCTTCTTTTGTATAACATTTATTTAAGAGCTCTTTGATCATTTGCTTTCGTTTTCTTTTCTTTTCTTCTATCTCTCTCTCTCCCTTTTTTTTTTTTTTGCTTTTGTTTTTGCCAACTGTTTTTGCTTTTGTTTAAAGTATGGTTTATTTTGCTTCGTTTAAACTATGGTATGCAGAGGCAAATCCAGAGTCAAAATGTTAAATATTCTAACACAAGTAATTGATAAAAATTTCATTGTTATTCAAACGAAAATTTAATCTTTTAGACTTTCAATTTTTAACTCATTTATAATTCAATCTTTTAATTATGATTCAACACAACTTAGTCCTGAATTTTTGACTGGCCTGTGACTCAACTCCTTGTTTTTTCATATTTTTATATGATTATCCTTATCATCTATAGCTCATCTTATGTGGCAAAGATTTGTTTCCAGCTCAGCTCCACGTGGCGTTGCTGTGTCATCTTTCTTGGAAACGCCTGCCGGCCAGTTCACCTCTTCTGATGCTTCCCCACTCGGAGTTTTTCCGTTCAGCTTTCCCTCCAACTTCGCAGCCCAACCGATACCGTCTTCCAGTCAGCAATAGTCATAGAATTTGCTGATATAGTATTATTTTGTAGCTTTTTCGCTATTTGGGTGACCCTGATAGTGTAACTCACACGGATTCCCTTTAACTTGAAACCATCATAAAAAGCCAAAGGAGAACAGGAAAACGATGAAGAAGCTATCACTTTTGTTTTTTTTTTTTGTTTTTTGTTATTTTTCTTTTCCAATTAGATTTTCCTGAAAATCATACAGAAACTTATCACGATTTTGGGGAGAAGTGACATTTGGCTGGTGCCTTGGTGGTAAAATTTTGAATAAAAAATATCTCTTTAGCCCAAAGTTTACTGTACTTAATTTAAGGATCATAATACAATTAAAGTTGCTAGGCAAAGCAGAGCAAGGAGTGACTATTGCCGATTGGGAAATGGTGTCGGTGGTGCTGCAGAGTTGAAGGGAAAGCTGAAGTGGGGAGCGACAGAAGCAAAACGATATAGTATTCCCGAGCGGTTGCATTAGCCAAGATATCCTGAAATCTATATACGACCTCTAATTCTTAATATAAGAATTAGTTGATTAATTTAAATGGATTAAAAAAATTAGTTAAGTTAGTTATTTGTAATAAATAAGTGTTTTCTTTTTCAAAATATCTTTACTAATCATATATATTAACTAGAACTATCATTTGATAAAATATTTACCGTATGCAACTACTCCAAAAACTACCTTAGGAAAAATGGACAAAATATAAGAGATAAAGTAGATTAGGATATTATATTTATGATTAAATTAAAATTCAAACTAACTCTCATATTAAGAACCGGAGATATTATTATATATAATTCCATTTTTGGCGTCGGCTTATTTTCTTTTGAAAAAAATGGGACCATAAATTTTTCCCCAGTTTTTTCTGTGAGAGCCACATGGAACCACGTAGAGGGGACAACCGTAAATGGATAATGACATTAGAATATTAAACGTCAAATTCTTCATCATAAGAAATATTCGAACGCCCATGACGTACGGAACATTATATATTTATATACTATCTTTTGTGCTTAATATAAAAATTAGTCAATTAATTTAAGTAGATTAAATAAATTTGTTAAGTTAGTTATTTGTAATAAATATGTATTGTCTTTTATAAAATACTTATGTTAATCAGATGTATTAGCTAGAACTACCATTACTATAAGAACTAGTTTAGAAAAAAAAGGATAAATATAAAAATAAAATGAATTGAAATTTTATATTTAGGACTAAACTAAAAATCAGACTGGCTCTGATATTAAATACTAGAGGTACTATCATGATTATCAATACATTTATTAAAAAAATTAAATGATGATTAACATAAACATTAATGGATGATGGGACTTTGGGTGATTAAAAAATCCCAAAAAAAAAAAAGGAAAAGAGGAAAAGATGCATTTTCAATTATATACTCTTATTATGTGGGAAAAAAATTTCAGCACGTGGTCTAATAAGCCTTCGACTATTAGAAACTTGTACGAACCTATACAAGACGGTACATATTGTCTAGTGGATGACCAAGAGTCAAAAGTTTGTAAATAGTTAATGGGAGAATTACAATCACATCCCAAAAAAAATTATTAAAAAATCTTAATAACAACCTAAACAATTTGTAATAATAAGTTCTAGAATGAAAAATGATAATTTCTATGACTTGTTCTGTAATTTTTTTATTTCTTAGGACTTGATTGTAATTTTCTCATAGTTAATTGGCTTTTGTGAATTGTTAATAGCTAATTATGTGTTATGATTGGCTTATACAAGAAGTTTTGTAAGTTAATTTGTAAAAATGTTGCCTGAAATTGTTAATACACACATATATTATCTCCGGTCCTTGCTATAAAAGAATTAGCTGACCAATTTGAGTAGATTAAGAAAATTAATTAAGTTAGTTATTTATAACAAATAGTTGTTATCTTTCTTAGAATATATTTACTAATCATGTATATAGCTAAAACTATCATTTGATGCAAACATTTAACACATGCAACTACCATTAGGATTACTTTAAGAAAAAGGGATAAATTTGAGAAACAAAGTAGACTAAGATCTTATATTTAAGGCCAAATTGAATGTTAAACTAGCTTTTATATTAAGGATCAGATGCAGTAGTTAATATATTTTTGGAGAATTATAATGAAATTCCAAGAAAGAAAAATACTTACAAAATAAATCCCAAAAGTTATCATTTTCTACCCTGAAACTTCTTATTATAAGCTGTTTAGGTTGTTATTAAAACTTTTTTGTAATTATTTTTTTTGTTCTTGAGATCTTATTGTAATCCTCTCATATATTTTTGTGAATATCTAAAGCGCTGTTGTTAATAACTAATCTGTTAGCAAATTGTCCAGTTACCAGTTTGACCACCCATAAAAGTGGCTTTTTAGTTTTTTTTTTTTAAAAGCAAAAAAAAAGGGAGGGACTATATAGTAAAGGAAGAACATTCACAGATCTGAAATTGGTTCCTTTAGACCGATTTGGGAATTGTTTAACTTAATTAGTGACCCAATTTCAAATGTGAGCATTTTGATTGCATTTAAAAGAAAATTTCCCCTTTTTCTAATCGATACTTGTACAAATTCTATTTTTTTCCCCTTACACACACACAATAACTTAACAACATTTTTTCTCTAAATAGTGGATATATTTTTAGGAAAATAGTAAAAGTAATGAAAACGAGCTTCAAGATCCTTAAGGAAGAATTATAAAGCATGAGTCATATATATATATATATATATATAAACTATAAAATAATTTGACCATGACTATATGTCTTCCCTTGGCTTGTGGTGAGCATTCACATATAATGGTCGTTGAACTAACACTCGGCTTGCGTTTGACTAAGCTGGTTTGTGTTGAGACTTCAACAAACGAACATATATAAATAGCATTAAAAAAATAAAAAATGTCACGAAATAATAAGTAACTTAAACTAAATACGAACTCAACCAAGTTTGATTCTTTAAATGGATTTATTTTTATATTTATCATGATGATATCATCAAAAGGAATAAACGTTCTGGCCAAAAAGGGTAAAGAAAGAATCAATAACCTTAATTGCTATATATTGACTAGATATTAAGCACGTTTAGGTTTTTTGATCTTGAAATCAACATCAATATTATAATGATTAATCTTAAACAATATAATTGTCCATTCCTCGCTATTAGTTAATTACATCACATGTAAAATATGCCGGTTAATTTATTATTAATTATTTGTTTATTTTTGTTGCTTCATTGAAGTATTTTCAACCTACACGTGGATGTAGGCGGCCGACATGGGAGATGGCTGTTTTCTAAGGCCAAATTCTGAAAAGTTGTCTCCTAATTTCCACGGATGATATCTCTAAAAGATTCGGTGATTTGGATGTCATAATTAACGCGTGTTGGCCTTGTGATCAGTGTTACATTTTTTTTTTGTGCCATGGCCAATGTTAGATCAAGCCAATGTATTACTCTTTTAGTCCCTTATTATAAGAAACTACTATTAAGATTACACATTTTAAAATATTAATTAAATTTATTTAAAAGCAATAAATATGTAAGATATAATATACACATTTCTTAAATATGTCTTTATTGTTAAAAGCGTACATGAGAGATAATGCATAAAAATTTATTACAGAGATAATAAGTAATATATATTTAATGAAGCTAAAAGTAAAACGATTAATTTGATATTTCAGACAAAGATAATTTGTTTTTTATATTTAGAAACAGCACTATGAGAGAGAGATTGTTTCTTATAAAAAGAAATGGAATTTGTATCTCTTTTTCTTTATTATATTGTATTAATTTTGTTTTAGATATAGCACATTGTTCTAATTATTTCGAAATCTATATGTAGATCTCTCTTCAAACTCAGTGTTTCTTTTAACTTTTAAACAAACTCAATGTTATATTCTAACTTCTCTTTTATTTTGAAACCCAAAGTTATTTTGTTGATTAATCTTCGTGTGTTAGTTGGTTTGACCTTGACATTTTACTCTTCGTGGTATGTTTCATCGCCATCGCTTGGCAGGATAAGGGTTCAGTGTAGATTTCTTCCTTAGAGTCCTCCATTGGCTTCTGAGCTTTTCACTCTTGTTCCCTTTTGAATATAACTACATAATATGGAACTTGTGAATGTTCCTGCGCTTCGAATTACAAATTCTGCAGTCTTCGGAGTACAATTAAAGCTTTTTGTTTCCTCTCTTTCGCTGAGAAGAAGTAAGTTTTTCACAACTTACCCTTCCTAATTGGTATTTTATGTTGTGAGGTTGGAGTTTAGGTTTCTTATATGATTATAGGTTCACTGTATTCTGAAATTGATCATGCGACACTAATATTTTGCATAAGGCTTCAGATAATTGTTATTCTGAAGAGATTTTTTTTTTTTGGGTGTGCAGCTTTGATCAAGAATCGACTAGTTGTCGAAGCTGGGGCAAATGCTAGAAAAGAAAGTGCCAAAATCCGGAACAGAAGGATGCAGAAGAAGTTTGATGGAACACCTAGAAGACCAAGGCTTTCCGCATTTTGCTCAGAGAAGCAGTTGTATGCAATGCTGGTTGATGACCAAAACAAAAAGTGTCTGTTCTATGGAAGTACATTGCAGAAATCTATCCGACAAGATCCCCTTGTTCCAATATTGAAGCTCCTCAACGTGTTGGGGAGGAACTTGTCAAAGCCTGCGTTGAACTCAACATAAATGAAATATCGTCTTACGGTCGCAATGGTTTTTGCTCGCGGAGAAAGGATGCAAGCCTTTGAGAATGTAATCTCCAGTTTTGCATTCTTGTCAGGATTGATCTGCATGGAAGACTATTCTTTTTCAGTAACAAGAGAAACAATCAAATGCAGAAAAGGATTTTACTTTGCTAGCGCAAGATTCTGAATTCCTGATCAACTAAGGCACTGCTGTAAGACCAGTAATGCTATATGGTAGTAAATGTTGGGTTTTAAAAGGATAACATAAACATAAAGTGGAGGTAGCCGAGATGATAATACTGAAATGGATGTACGGTCATACAAGAAAAAATAGGATTCGTAATGAACATATCCATGAAAAAGTTAGAGTGGCTGCTATTGATGAGAAAATAGTAGAAAACCATTTGAGATTGTTTGGTTATGTGCAAAAGAGGCCTTTAGGTTGATCAAACAGCATAAAGTCCTCTACAAAGAGCTAAGGCCAAAGAGAATACTTCATAAAGTTATTAAGCGAAATCTTTCAATAAACAATATATTCAAAGATTTGATCTTCGATAAAATTCAATGGAGTTGTTGTAGCTTTTGTATTAAGGTTTTGTTTTTGTTGTTGTTATTGTTGGGAATTCAAATGTATGGACTCAAATGAAATGATGCCAACCCTTAAGAAAACATTCATTCCATCCTCCCCTCACCAATTTGAGGCGCCCAAAAATTTTTTTCCAAATAAATAGCCGCTAGTGATTATTCTTGGCTTTTTCATTTCATTTCATTCCATTCTTAAAAATTTAAAAAGAAAAAAAAGAAAAGTCCCCAACAGTGCCTAAAGAAACATTGAGAATAGAAATATGCTTTGCTTAAGGATAGTGAAGAAAAATACAGATGAAATATGCTTTCCTTAAGAACAGTGAAGAATATGTTCTTATTTCAACGAATCCTGATGATACCTTTGTCGTTAAAGCACTCAATTAAACAAGATCCTAATTAACTTGTAGTTTAGGATCAACCTAAGTTATTACTTCCAATAAACAAGTCATGGGTTTCTTTAGGTAAAAATTTAGGTGATAAAAAAAATGCAAGAAATTAGACCTAAACTAAAATGCAAAATTCTAATTCTAAATGGAAGATGCAAATGTCCTAAAATCTATATGAAAATTAAATTAAACTAAATGAATGCAATGCAATTTTGGAGGGTTTTTTTGAGGAAAAAAATTAAATGATAAATAAAGAAAATTGACTAGAAAGAAAAGAAAATTAACAAGTAAAAATTGAGGAAGTTTCTCTTAGGTAAAGTAAAAAAGACAACTTAGGATTCGCAGGGATTTAACCTTCATAACCTTAATCAGTTAATTAGACCAAAGGGAAGTGATAAGAGTGGAATTAATAAACTTAATTACCTACTTGAAACAAAAGGAACCCTCAATTTCAAAAAACCTTTAAACTATTAGAGAACTCATAACAGTATAAAGTTAGTTAATTAAGCTTATTAAAACCAATGAAGATAGCTCAAATTAATTCTGAAAATTATGTTTGATATTATCCAATTAAATAATTAGACAATTAACCAACTTAATTAAACAATTAAGAGGTAAACTAAAAGAACCTAAATTTTACAATTCAAACCACATTGATAATTAAATCCATAATGAAAACTCAGTTATAAATTAAATTAATAATGCAAAGGTTCATAAACATAAAATTTCAGCAAGTGTCTCAATACAAATAAAATCCAAATATCAATTTAATCCAAGCATAAAGATGGCAATCTAAAACTAAATTATCTCACAAAAATATGACTTAAAATTATTTAAAACTAAATAATCTTAAGTCCTTGAATTAAAAAGATAAATGGAATATCACTCTCTTGTGGTCTTTAAGTACTAGTCCAAGGCTCAAGCTTTTTCCACGCTCTTCCCAAGTTGTCTCCCTAGCAAGCTCAAGCTTCCACCAAATTGCCTTCTCTTCCAAAATTGTTAAATGCTACGGCCATGAATTGATGAAAGGTGATGATGATGTGGAGATGGGAACGGGATCGCCTCAAGGAAATAGATGAATGTGAGAGGAAGATGGTTATTCAATTGGTGATGGGTTGCGTGACGTGAATGAGGGGAGTATATGGGCACTGCGCAGGAATGGAGAAGTGAATAATTCTCTTGACCGAAAGGGTGAATATGGGATGAAGGAAGTGATTGACGGTGGATGATGCCCGTGGGTGTGAATGGAGAAGGAAAAGTGATGCTAGGCGTGAGTCCTTGCTCTCAAATAAGGAACATATTTTAATGAGAGAAAAGGGAATTTTTTGTGGATCCAAAGCTCAACCCATTAGTAATTAATTGACTCACTTGATATTAGTTATTAGATTGTGCTTAAATTCCAAGAAACAATCTTTGCATCATTGGATTTCCTATATGCTCTTTCTTGACCTATAAGAATTTAAGTGTATCCATTAATGCAGATTATATCCAAATATAATCAAAAATTAAATATCAGATATGCACAAAAATTAGGCAAAAAATTGTAAAACTTTCTAAAAATAATCTTTCTAAAAATATGAAACTTGTTTCTAAAGAAATAGGAAAAATTAATTCCAAGTCAAAAATAGGAAATCACAAAATATTTATATTTTTAATCCAAAATCTCAATTTTTATGAAAAATTCAAAAATCAACCAATTAATTCAATAATGTATAAAAATCCATTTAAGCTCAAAATTATCATTTAAATCTTGAATTAATATGGGATAAAATATATAAAAATTAGATTTTACCAAATCTACCTGTGGATCCCTTGAGGAGAAATTAAAGTTGGGTGCCTTTGCCACAATTTTGATTTGAGTAAGATTAAGCAAGAATCTACCTGTACGTGTTCCTGCACGCGCCCGCACGCTTGAAAGCCGCAGTGGTCAATTTGTGTTTCAGCTTTCATCATCATCGTGGGCCAAGTTTTAGACAGGTTTGAGGCGTAATGCCCTGTACCTTCTTAGGAGGTGTTTAAATTTTTTTTCCAAACCATGGTTTGAAAAAAAATTTGCTAAACACTTTTTTTTTTTTTGAAAAACCATGGTTTTGGCCAGCCAAACCATGGTTTTCATATAAGCTGGCAAATTGTGGATTGTGAAGAAACATGTTTGTTGAAATAATAATTGCTCCTGGTAGAGAGGCTTCAACGGTGGAAAACAAAATTCTCTCTCCTCCCATTCTGAAATTTGTCGCCACCGGTGACAAATTATTTTACAAAAAACATATTTAGTTATTTTATTAATATATATATGTATTAATTTTAATTATTTTATTACTATATATTATTTATTAATATATATACATATTTAATTACTTTATTAAATTATTTTGCAAAAAAACATATTTATTTATTTTATTAATATATATACATAAGGTATATTTTATTAATATTATTTATTTACTTCAAATAAACATATATTATAAAATATATCTTATATGTAATTATCATTTAAACTTATGTCTTTTTTAGTAATTTCTACATATAAAAAAGCACTTCTGACAACAACTATCTAAACACTCTCATTTTATCAGAATCACTTTTTCAGAAAATCTATTCTTTCACAATCTATTATCTCTATAATCTATTCTCCAAATCATGGTTTAGCTTCATCCAAACAACCCCTTAATCTTTTTGTGCCCTTTTTTTTTTCCAGCTTTCATCATCATCATCGCCGCCACACATGATGACGTGGTGACTAGTAGAGACGCCGCGCCACATTTTACTTTTTTATTTTTTCAAAAATTGAGTTAGCGACGAATTAATGATAGAAAAATTCCGTTACTAATTTGCGACAGAAATTTTTGTCAATAATTAACAACAAATTAGCGACGAAAAATTCCATCGTTAATCCATAGCTAATTGGCAACGGAATTTCAATTCCGTCACTAATCCAATTAGTGACAAAGGGATTAGCGACGGAACAAATTCCGTCGCTAATTGCATTTTTTTTTTAGTGTCTAAAGTTATGTTAAGGATCAAAGATATATCATATATACCTTGGTTAAAGTTTCATACTAATAACGTGTTAAAAATAAAGAAGAAATAGAGAAAAAGAGAGGATGAATAAGAGAGAGTATTTCTAATTCCATTCAAAAGTGCTCAATATATTATACATGGCCCCTATTTATAGATACAGCTTTATATCTTTGATAGAATCTGCAAATTACATAATAATAGGAGATAATTATGGGATATAGAGATAATAGGAGATATGAAGATTATAGGAGATAATAGGAGATATATGAACATCCACAAAGATATTATTATATTCATAACAAAAATAAGTCTTACACTAACATTAACTCTCAAATTAACTCTCACATTAAGAACAGGAGGAGTAGTATATTTAGACAATGAATATACTATATTTTAATCCTTAAGAGACAGGCAAACATAACAAGATAAAGTTGGCCAAAAAAAACCAGGATAAAGACATGAAAATATTAACTTTAAAATATAGTATATTTATAAGAAATATTAATAACAACACGCCTGAGACAAAATAGTAGATGACCTCCAATACCGAATTAATAATATACTCCTTCGGTTTTTAATATAGGACCCAAATATTGAGTTAGTTTTGATCCTAAATATAAGACCTATTTATCATATTTATTAATTTTTTCTAAATTACTCCTATAGATACTCCCTCAACCATAATCAAGTAGGAGAGGAAGAGGGGGTATTAAGAAAGATGATTATGGTATTTTAAGAAAAACATGTCACATTTCTTATAATTAACTAACTTATCTAACTTTATTAATCTAATCAAATTAGTTAAACGGGTCTTATATTAAGGACAGGAGAAGTAGATCATTACGCTTTAATTTTAATGAATATCAGCATGTGGTCAAAATCTTCACCTTGACTTCTGGGAACCCACGGGTCAGCAAAGAGTACTGTTTCTAATTTTAAATTTATGATTTTTTTAATTGATTACACTAACACATGTTGTAAGGTTTTTATATCTATTATAGAATGTTAT